TTCAGTGGCTTCCCACCGAATTCAGAATGTTGCCATGACTTACCGAGTGAGTCCCGCAGGCCCTGGCTCCTCTTAATCTTGCTAACCTTGCTTCTTCTTCCGTGTCTTGGCACAGGGACTCATTTGCATTCCTTGGATATGCCCACACTTGTCCCCCTCAGGCCCTCTGCCATTGCCGGCCCTCTCCCTGAACGCACTTTTGTGCTCTTCCTCACCTCGCTGCCGTCTTCTCACGCTTCGACGCCATCTGCTCAGAGAACTCTTAAATCCGTCTCCTTCAGCACACCTCCCCCCATGCGCTCTGGTTCCTGTAGTTTCTATCACCTCACATGAACTTCTTGTGTAGCATTTATTGTCATCAACAACGGTCTGGGTTTTTGTAATGTCCTGATTGATCGCTGGTCTCTTCAGCCCTAATGAGAGCTCCGGGAGAGAGCCTAGCCACCTTGTGTTCTTAGTCTGTCTGAATCAGAGAATGCACAAGCCAAGGTCGAGGGAAGGGTGACTAAAGTGAAGCTTCCTAATAGAACACAGTCTATGAATTTCAGCCATTTCTTAAAATTCTTTTCTCTTTACAGCATCAACTAGCACTGTCTAGGAGTCGCAAGCCTGCTGCTTAAATATGCATTTCAGTATTCAACTTCTGTTAGTCACCAAGGCCTGTTGATTCCTGCGTCTAATTACTTCAACATATTGTCTTCCTCTCTTCTTGCAACATCAACTCCAACCATGTCGGTGCACCCTCCCATCCCCCTTCTGTGGGTCCCTAAGATGGCCTCCTAATTGCTCTCTCAACTGTCAGTCTCCACACATCGTCTTCTTGACAGATGCACCTTCTAAGGTCACTTGCAACCTGTCAGTTCACTCTCCAAAAACAACTATAACAAAAGCCCCCAAACCGATATTCTATCTTATTATAGTAGGCCCCAAATTCTCAAAAATCAAATTATATTCAACTGTATTCTTCCCATCTGAATCAGTCAATACTATTAACTGCTACTCCTTTAAACGATTCCTCTACTCTACACAAATACTTACTTTTCTATCCTCAAAATAAGCCAAGCTCATACCTCTTTGTATTCTTGCTCAGTCATGTCACCAACTGGGGAGGCCATATCCCCCTCCATCGACCTAAGCCAAAACATTGTCTTCAAAGCATAGTTCAATTCCAACTTCTCTAATTAAGCTTTCCCTCCCAGCTCCAGCCCACACATACTTTCCTTTTTCTCAATCTTAACCCATTGTTTAAGCCACGGTTCCATATAACATTTGCTTACACAAGACTTATTTCTGTTATTCTTCAGTTATTTCATAAGTGTACATTATATCTCCCAAATTGGATTGCAAGCAGGGACTGTGTCTTTTATATCTTGGCAGTGGCAGAAATAGCACTGATCCAACAGGAGCCACTTACATTGACTTGCTGATTTACATGGTTCTGAGGATGAATCCCTTCAATTACAAATAACAATTCTAGACAACTTGCAATTCCCAAACAGAACATACTATTCCCTAGCCCTAATCTCTCCCACACAAACTCCCAGTGCCTACGATGTTCCCTTTCCACCTTCATTCACCTGGAAAACTCTTAATTCTCTTTCCGGTCTCAACTAGGACAACATTTACTAAGACAAGGCACATATCCCTTGTCTCTTCCTTATCCATCCACCTACCCCAGTATCTATGTAACATGTAGCTCCTAGATGTTCCCATTAAATACCCTTAACCCATAGCATGTGACACACTATATCATAAATGACTATTTGTCCACTGGCCTTCCTGACTGGTCTGTGTGTAACTTAGGCTCAAGCAATTTATCTTTTATGTTTATAGCAGCAGAGTGATGGTGCTGTATTATATGTTAAATAAATAAATGACCAAACTAACAAAAAAGCTGGTAATAAAATCTGTTAAAAGAGCTAAGAATGCTGGTGCCTGCATGGCTCAGTTGTTAAGCATCTGACTCTTGATTTCAGCTCAGGTCATGATCTCAACAGTTCATGGGTTTGAGCCCCATGACTCTCTCTCTCTGTCTCTCTCTGCCCTTCCCCCCCTCAAAATAAAATTTTTTAAAAAAAGAGCTAAGAATGTGGTATAACAGGTATCAATTTAGTGTTAATGTAATTTATAGCAAACCATAGTTCATACCATTTAGAATGCCTATTTGTTATTAATTTCCAAAAATAATTGTTAAGCACCCCCTATGGGTCAAGCATTGGGGATGCAGAAAAGATGCAAACATAGAAAAATCCCCAACCTCCCAGAACAACTTGCATCTTACTAAGTGAGGTGTGTATGAATATGGTGTTTGCTCTGCATTATAAAGTATAGAAATGCTCTCTGTATAAGGTTTCTTTCTGCAAGGATGCTGATGCTGAGATGATGCCAACTTGCACCAAAATGGAGGCAGTTTGAATGGTGAGTGGTAGTTAAATGATGGATGTGCTTTGAGGTCAGAGCCAACAGAATTGACTGATGGACCGGAGGTTTGAGAACAGAGAAGAATGGATTGGAGTCTGTGCAACTGTGGAATGGAATTTGTGCAGGGTTTGGAAGCATATGATTTTGGAAAAAGTGTGTGTATATATATATATATATATATATATGAAAAGATACTCCAGAATTAGGCCTTAAATTTTAATAATCTATTTCGTATCATTGAACTTCTCTTGGGCATATTTCCAATGGCTAGTAACAGTCCCTTTGGTTTCTTAGGCAAATTGATAACGCCAAAGAGACGCATCTTGGACAACTACAGTTAATGCAGTTCCAGGAAGCACTCTTGTGCCAGGCACCCCATAAAAGTCCCTGCAATTTATTCTCCAAAACTGTCTCGAATTCTTTTTTTAAATGACTAATGCAATGCAGCTAGTGCTAGAGGTTACAATGTCTGTGACTGCTAAAAACCACTTCAAAGCTCACCTATAATTACTATCATTACAAAGATTAATAATTATACTTTGAATTTATTGAATGATGACTTAAATGTCAAATGGACACGTATAAAAGAGGCCAAATTTTTATTCTGCCCTACATCATAATCTGGTCTAAGGTCAGAGGAGATGACCTTGACCTAGGAGTAAAAGATCATGGAGGAAGTATGGGTGACCTAGAATGACTTAATCCACCTAAGACTAAAGCCTGAGATAGAACAGTGGGGGATTTGGGCTGTCGTCAGGTAGCTACCTAAACAACCTAAATAATAAGCTACTGTGCTTAATGGCTATAATTTGGGGTAAGGCTGGTAATAATGGTTTATTTTTTTTCATGTGTTGAAGTATATGTCTGCAAAACGTACTGAATTTGGGATTCAAGATATGAGACTGTTTACAAACATAGGATACAACGGTAAGTCAGTATAATGACTAAGTTCTCTTGCAGAATAATTTAGTGGTAGTCATGATGAGTTATAACTTGGACTTTTGAGTTTTCATTGGGCAGAAACAAACCACTCTCGCTCAGTCTGTGAGGTTTCTTTTCCCTTCTAGACTCTAAGTAGTTTATACAATAAACAGTTATTTCCATAGTAGAAATGGCCAAGATGTCTAAGCTCCAAAGTTACCCTGTTATTATGGTTAGAAATCAAGGTTGCCATTCTTCCAGATTTTCACAGCCATGCCACTTTTGACCCAGCTGGTGGAAATGTAAAAGTAAATATAGTTCTTTGACCTCTTAACAAAGGCAAAAATCAACATGCTCAGGTATTTATTTCGCTGGCAAGTGATCTAGCACAAAGGGGCATTACAATGGATTCGGATAATGACAAGACTACACATTTTTTTTTCAAAAGAAAATTTTAAGCAAGAGTTCATCCCTACACTGTCTCTGTCCTCTTATTTAGGACTTTGATATAAAGTACTGATTTGAAAATAGTATCCACTTCATAATTTATCTGATAAGAACAGATACTACACTTGATCTTAGCCAAAAGGCCAAGAAGCAATCCACTTCACAATTTATCAATGGCATCAAATAATACAATGAAAACTTTTAGAAGCTTAATTCACAACCAAAAATCAGGAGAGGAAATCTCATCACAAGCATATGTCGAGGGGAAGAATTCCTCCACTTAAAATTCCTTCATAACTGGGATGAGTCATTTCCTTCCCTATCTTGAAAATTGTGTTCCAAACCTATCTTCTTCCATGAAACGAGACAGCTGTAACCCTTTCTAATCCCAACGGCATGGCAAGCATGGCTTTCTCTATGGGGTATGTATTTATAGCCTCTGGATGTTTCTTGGGCACTGAATGACTAACTACCAGAGGAAAAGTCATCTACCTGTACTCACTCTACTTCCTAGAAAGTGCTGAGTGTATGGATAGGCAAGCCCAAAATTTAGAGACTGTTCCACTATGTGGTCCTTTTTAACATTATAACAAACAACAGAAGTAGAAGGCGAAGAGCAAGGGCTTAGACTTTAATTCTTTTTGTAATCCTCATATTTCAGTGTTAATTTTTTTAACACATTTGCACATTGCAAAAACAATATATTTTTAAAAAGCCCTGAAACAATCATGATAGGCAGGCATATAAGATCGGTGATACTCTGTTGAAATGTAGAGTTAAAATTTACAAATTGGTAAAGGTCATATCAAATATGAACCTCATGAAAAGAATGTCAAAACTGTACTCAAAACATTTTCTTTCTACACTAAAAAATCAAAGATACAGGAAAATTTAAAACCACTTGCCCCTTCTCCCCCCAAATCATCATTTTAAGCCATTTCCTGACATTCTTATCCATTAGTCATACGACTCAAGTACACTGCTCTTGGGGTTCATAGGCATTTTAAACTTAACTTAGTATTCTGGTACAATAACGAATTCCATCATTTCTTTGTTCAAACCTTTCAATGCTCTTTTCGAAATCCATTTGCAAAAATCTAGTTTTCTACATGCTGTAGACCAATTTGACCCACCATGAAAGAAAAATTCAAACATGAATTTTAGCTCACAAGCTGTACCAAGATTAGAAAACAAGATAAGTTGTCTCCTACCTATAGTTGTTATAACAGTGCCAGCAAAGAAGAAGGAACTTCCCAAATCCCAGTGACTGATTTGATTGGAGGTGTTTCCTAAAGGTATAATCCCTGCATTTATTGCTGCCACTATTTGCTGCAAGTTTAAAAAGAAATTTATCAGTACACATAAATCACACGGAGGCATCAAACAGCACACATTTCACCCCAGTTGACAAATTAGACAAAGGACCAATTTTAAGGCTTGCTTTTTCATTTGGAGTATATACAATATCGATTAAGGCTTTCTACTAAAGAATTTAAGAAGTAAATGATAAGAAAATCGTATTTTATATCAAGTGAATGGATCTGTATGGAGTATATCATATTGCACCAATATGCATTTGTATCTCATCCGTTAGCATATTGAGTGACTTATTTCAATCAGCTACTAATTTTTTAGTAAGCAACACAGAGTAAAAATATCACCTTGCAAACTTAGAATTTAAATAATATATAAAAGTTTCATCGAAAAGCAAGTTATTTCCAAAGTGTCAGTCATTTCACATGCTAAACATATGTATCCAATCTTGGTTTGTGTATAGCTGTAGAGTGTATATATCAATAAGATGCCTTTAAAGGCACTAGCAATTCACTATCAAACTTAAGTTAGTCCATGTATATCTAGATTCTCAGAATCTCTGCAGATTATTTATAAATTCTATTATGATCTCATAGCACCACCAAAATATCACCAAAAACCCATAGACAACAATCAGTCAACAATATTCATATAGTGACCCTAGGATCTGGACGATGCCTTGAGTGGTACAGAGAGACAGACAGAAAGATGACATTACAATCTCCTAAATCATCAGATATTGAGCAGGGGATGGGGATATTAAGAAGCACAAAACACAGGAGAGAACGTTAGGAAAAAACTCTGTAGTAAAAAAGAGACATACAGATTGTAGGAAAAGATGTTTTTTCTGCATATAGTTTTAGAAATCTTTATAATTTAATTTCCAGATTTTAAAATTGGAAGAAGCTTCATTTGATAGGCATGGAAATTAAAGACTGAGAGAGGTAAAGTGGTTTGTTTAAGCTTAGTTTACTGGCAAAGGGACAAAAAAAACTGCACTGTGAAAACGGAGGGCACTACCCCATAAAGTTACTGTCAGATGGAAAAGAGCATGTAATCCAGAGCTGAAAATGCAATATAAAATTTAATTTGTCTGATTTGTTTTACTTTATAAACTAAAACTTCAAGAGTTCTGTATAAAGCTAATTAAATGGCTAATGACAATGGTTTTTTAAAAAATTTTAATAATATATATTTATTGTAAAAAACATTAGGAAAATACAGAAAAGCATAACAAGAATAATAACAATTATGCACAATTCCAGACTCCACAGATAACCACTGTTAATGTATTAAAGTATCTATTCCTGGTATTTTGCTATACTTTTAACATGGTTGGATTTATGAAACATATGAAATGTATTCTCTATTTTTATTTGATATTTTTCTATATATAGGTTTTCTTTGTCATTACTATATTTACTTAATCACTGGCAGGTATGTAGACATCAAAGCTGTTCTAAAATTTCTTATTATGAAAAGTGCTGCTGCAAAAATATTTTTTTCATTTCTGAATACTTCATTGGGACAAATTGTTAGAAATAAGTTTCCCACATTAAAGATTATGAATATTTTGGGGGCACCTGAGTGGCTCAATTGGTTAAGCATCTGACTCTTGATTTCAGTTCAGGTCATGATCTCACAGTTTGTGAGATGGAGCTCTGCTTCCGGCTCTATGCTGACACTGCAGACCTTGCTTGGGATTCTCTCTCTCTCTCTCTCTCTCTGTTTGGCTCTCCCTGGCTCATGCACATGCGCATGCTGCCTCTCTCTCTCTCTCTCAAAATAAATAAATAAACATTAAAAAAGATTATGAATATTTTAATGTACTTGATATATAGTAGCTAGTAGCAATCCAGAAAGGTTGTTACAATTCACAGCAGCACTCCCAACAATTTACAAATGCTTAGCAATGCTATTACCTCTAACAGTAATATTTTATCTTTAATAAATTGATAAGAATTATTTACATTTATATATCCTTTATTGTGAGTAAAGGCAAACAGTAATGCTTCCTTTATTATACATTAAATGCACACAAATATAGATAAATGCACACATATGCACACAGCACACAATGAAGCTAATTTTGAGATATTTTATTTTTTTACCTGACCCTATGATAACTTTAATAAAGATAAAGCAGGTCTCCCTGATCATCCTTCTTTTAAAAATGTTCTCTGCAGTTACTAATCTATTCTTGTATAAACTTTCGAATCATTTAATTAAATTTTATAAAAATTTTCATTTCCATTGATTACCTAGACCCAAGCTAATTTTTCCAACAATTGACTTAAAACAGCATGGTCAGCACCATTATTTTAGCCCATTCTTTTGCTTCTCAATGATGAGGTGCAACATTACCCAGGCACTTGGATAACATCCACAAATTATTTAAATGCAAAAGAAGCAAATGTAGACTCAGAAACAGTAATGTCTGGCAATGTGTGGCTTGTAAATAGTTATCACAGAGCTGTGATTATTGCCATGGAGGCTTGAGATAGAACCGGGAATATGTCAAATCACTATGAGAATGAGTCTACCATGAGGGTCCTAAAATGGAATATTCTTATGATTTTATTTTATGATTTAGTACAAGATCTCTTGGTCAACACCTACAGGAAACTGCATGCCCTATGACAAGTGTACTGATAGAGATCTGAGACTCTGTAATTTCATCAATTCAGGCCATCAAAGCAGTTAACAAATGCCTTCATTAAAACTGTATATGTGCCATATTTTGTGACTAAAGTAACAATCATGTCATCAGTAGTAAAAATTCATTTTTCCACTAAAGGTAACTTTTGTAGACAACCAAGTCATGTTGACAAGTCATGAATAAATTGAATTGTTTAAATTAGAATAAAGGAAATTTGGGTCCTATGAATTTAATCCTAACATATGATTACTTGACGTCTTCATTACGGAAAGGCTTCCAAACTTAAAATATAAAACAGAAATAGTATAAGATAATCTTGTTTGGATTCACATTTAATTTTGGTCCTCTATATAGACAATCATAGAATGTGCATTAAGAAAAGTTGAATACATGGTTCTAGTCAAGAATATAAATTCAAACTTCAGAAATAGAGCTCTAAGAGCTTTATACTCACTGAACTCATAAAGGTAATTACTCATAAAAGTAATGATGAAAAATCTGAGTTCCATGACAGTGATATCTTTAGAACAGAAGTTCACAGAGTTCTACTGTGATTTTGTGCCTGCTTGAATTGTAAGAGGTTGATATCTCAATGTCATTTGGCATCTTGGAACTATGTTCAGCTTTGACACCAAACATTGATGAGACACATTTATTTGTCGTTGTATGAGACTAACCTTGGAAGACAAGGCAATCACTGACAATCATGAAAATGTTCCTGTGAGTCCAATACCTATGAACAACGTTTTCATGTGTTAAAAAGTACCTGACTAGCTATTCTGTCATTGAAGGAAATATGTTGAAAATTAAGTAACCCTAGGGAAGACTTGCTGAATATATTGTTTCCAGAGTAGGTTATATCATAGATCTTAAAACGCAGGTGACACTTGAGCCTCTGATTTTACTTTTTTCCTCCTTACCCTGATGCTCAGATGTTCATGTTCACCTAAACAATACAGAATGTTCTGAAGGAATGCCTTCTACAAAGTCCTCCTCTGTTAATATCATAATCATGGCTTCACTAAAATATATTTTCATACCTCTAATCCTAAAAGTAAAGTCAAATTAAAGTTTTTAAGTGATGTAAAAATTCTAAACTGCAGATATCAAGTATTAGCACCCTAACTGGGTTGTACCAATGATGTATGTATAACTGGATCAATGACAACTTCTTCTAACTGGGTATTTAAGACTGACCTCATATTTTCTCATATGGAAAAGAACACTATTTCCATTCTTTGATACCACAGGCCAAATCCAGTTACAATTATACTGGCATCTGTATTATTACACAGTTCCTTAAAGAGAAACATAAGTATTATCTTGACAGATTTCCGTAAGAAACAGTTATATATCATTTTGTGCCACTATTTGCTTGTGGAGGAGCAAGGTTTATCCTGAGAGGGAACTAGCCCTTTAGGAAAAGAATTAAATCACACATTCACAACACCTCATCTGAACACTTCAAGTAGGTAAGCAAGATTATTTTGAAAGACTTGAAGAATGCATAATGAGAAGAGCAAAATAATAAATGATGCTCTCATTGCCAAAGAACTTTGTGAGAAGACATAACAGTAGGTATCATTACTATGTATTGTTATACCACAAAAATAATCATCATCCATCAATTATATGCCATAACATGAGCATTGTTGCCAAAAGCTCCAAGATCATTATTCCTCTCATTCTTAATTAACCTTCTGGTTATCTGTCAACACCGTGATCACCTAATGTCAGATGATGCAAACTGCTCTGAAAGGTTCTGCTAATAAAACCAGAGACAATCTCAAGATGGCCTTTACTCTTACAGGCTCATAATTCACGTACTTCACTGTGGAGCGTAGGCAACCCTGACTGGTATATTCGAATCAATGAAGAGTCACGTTTATTTATCTATTTCCTAAGAGCTTTTTAAAAGTTTATTTATTTATTTTGAGAGAGAGAGAGAATGAGTTGGGGAGAGGCAGCAAGAGAGGGGGACAGAGGATCCAAAGTGAGCTCTATGCCAACAGCAGTGAGGGCCTGAACCAAAAGCCATGACATCATGACCTGAGCTGAAGTCAGACACTTAGTCAACTGAGCCACCCAGGTGCCCCTAAGACTTTTTAAAAACTTTATTGGCCATATCTGTCTGAAATGTGATTTACAGATATCATTTGCACAAGAAGCTTCTCCTCCTATGTTGATGACATGTAGTAGTCTTTAATCACCAGGACTGTTTCCTGGACATATCAAATTAGGTTCAACTGAGAGGCAGCATTATAGATCTTTAGTGTAAACTTACATAAAAGGAATATCATGCTACATCTTTTGCATTACTGGTGAAAATGCCCATAAACTAAAGCTATCTTCACTT